GGTGGAAGGGCTCCCTGCCCATGGCAGGGGGGTTGGAACTAGCTGATCTTTAAAGTCCCTTCCAACCCAAACCATTCTGTGATTCTATGATTCTATGGCCTCTTGCCCCAGGCCCACCCTCCTCTGGCATCCTGCTAGCTGGGTTCCAGCCCTGCGCGCAAGGTACCGTGGTTTGCCTTGGTGCCGGCCCGTCCCGGGGAATGCCTCCGTAGGGTTAGGTCTGGGCACCTGTGAGGATCAGCTTAACCCCAGAGGAGCAAAGGGTCCTCTTTCTGGAACGTTTACAGCTGGATTTTTGACCCAGGCTAAAGAAACAAGGTTTCTGTTACATTCTAAGTGGCCAAACATCCTGCCACATAGCCATGCCTTGCCTTGCCCCGGACTGATGACCATCGCCGTGGCTTTAGACAGCGTCTGCTTTGAAATGAGGGCTCCATCCTTTCGATGGGAAGCCCTGAAACCAGCAATCGAGGTGTCATTTCCTAAAACTGCCATGAGATCATCTTTGGACAAACACATCCAAGCTATTGCGGGTGGCTCCTTATTCTGAAACTCAAACAACGCGTCTCCTCTCCGCACCTGTGATTCTTCTGGGTTTTGTTTCTTGTCTTAAAAACACTTTTGTTTTTTGCATGTTTGCAATCTGCTTATGTGAAACCCATATGGGAGAGGGTAGAAACAACACAGATTTGACGGCTCCCTTTCTCAGTTTAAAGGGTAGTTTAACATCATGGGACAGCCGGGTGGGACTTTCCAGGTGTTGCCGCGCCAGCGCAGAGCATTATGAATAGAGACAGACACATACAGAGCACAGCAAATACTAGAGTACGCACTCTTGATGCAAATGGGCTGCAGGAGCACACGCCTCACCCGCAGTGGCCTGTCTTTCTGGCTTTTCCCTGCTGATACTCAGTGCTGTCTACCTGCGCTATTTCCTTGTCAGCCCAGGAAGAGGGGGCTGAGCGCAGCGGAGCCGGAGGGCAGGGGCTTGGCCCATTGTCACCAGGAGAAGCTGTTTGCGAGCGGACTTTGTGCACGCCGGTGTTTTGTTGGTACAGCCGCGGCTGTTGCTAAGCTGGTCGCAGGCAGCGTCTGGGCAGAGCAGTCCTGCTTGCCCTTGACCTCTTACTGCGCTTGAGCTTGCTCCGTATAATTGACCTGTCCTTAATGAATAGCACCACTGGTTGCGTGAGTTTTTAATTTTGCAGCCTGGCTGCCCTCTCCTCCCCCAAAACCACACAAATCATGGTTCAGCTTTGTGAGGACGTGCTGGATGGGTGGTGACCATGGCTGTTGGCTGTGACAGCCAGCGGGGTTGGAGCAGCTTACATCGACTTACCTCCGTGCAGGTTGTCTGATGGGACTTGTTGCCATTGAGCAGGACCAGGGCTCTCCCAGCCCTCGTCATGCTTTGTGTCCCTGTCTACTCTTATCCTGTGCCCAAGCATCTCCATGGACTTTCAGAAACTAACATGCCATGTGCCTGAGGAGGGCAGCTGAGGATATAGAAGACACTGAGGGTACAGACGCTGGGGGTATAGACGGCGCTGATTAAGGACTGCTCCTTTCCGTAGCTCCTGTGCGTGCGATGTGACTGGGCTCAGTCACACAGGGGATCACAGCCAGCTCTTGTCTAATAGCCCACGCACTGCGCTGGCGTTGCAGCCAGGGCGCGTTTGCCTGAAAAGCCCCTTTTGTGGTCTCTGCTCCTAGAGAGCAGCGTATCACCGTCATGGGGACCGCAGCGGGACGGCTCTTCCCCTGGGCTGTGGACTTCTCACTGTCCTGCTCGAGGCTCACCCTTCCCGTGACCTCGCCTGGCCCCATGCATTGGGGTGCTGCTCCCTTGGCTGGACCCCTGGGTGTGCAGCCGGGGCAGCCCCTGCGGCGAGGCTCTCTTCCTCCACCAGCAAATCCTCCAGCTGGCTTGCGTGGCTGGTATTTCTTGCTTTCCTGTTTCCTCCTTTCTCTGTTGGATTTGCAGGGTGCCTGGAGGCTTTGGCTTGGTAATTTGCCAGGGAATTAAACCCATGATTACTGTTCCTGTCTCTTTGCAGACCCGTGGGTGCAGGCCGGTGTGCATCCTGCTCTGGGGCATGAATCGTAGTTCCTGCTAGGATTAGGTTCCTCTTGGCATGAAGTACATCCCAAGGTTCTCATCCTCCCTGAGGACTGTTTTCCTTTTTCTTTGGCATCTTAAACTCAGTTGGTTGCTCTGTGTTTCTAACGTGACCCTGTGCGGCGCTGGAGGAAGGCGAGTTGAACCATTTTTAATCTCTGATAGAAATGAGAAATCTGCGTCTGAAAAGTGCCACGGTTTCTCCCCGCTCAGGGAATTCCAGAGTAGAAAAGGAGCACCTGGGAGGACTTGGCAGGGATGTGAAGACATCTTCTCCTGCCCCCTTGCTGAGGGTTTTCATGTGGGTGGCATGGCCTTGGCTCCACTGTCTCTGTGCCATTTTGTCCTTTCTCAACCCTGGTGTGACGCTTCTTTTCCATCCCCAAGTCACAGGCTGGCTGGTTTCTTACTGACCATAACACCAACCTATAATTTTGAGGGTGAAATTTCACCGGGCTGGGGTTGATCTGTAGGCGTAGCTGGGCAGAGGGTTGGATGGAGGAACTAGTTAGTCCTGATGGCATGTTGACTGAGTAGCTGTTGTCCTCTTGCATGACCTTTCAGCCTCCCCCAGGGCTGTTCTCGCTCTCCCAGCAGCCTTTCTTCCAGGTAGGAAATATTTAGGCTGTGGAAGGTGAAAACACAGTTAGGTTTGGAGCACATGAATTTTCATCACGTTGTGTGTCACAGGAGGGGCAGCGTGGTGCGCAGTACGTGTGTCCTGAGCTGGGTAACGCTGATAACATCAGCCTGTGCGCTCAGCAGCGACAGACGAGGGCACAGCTCTTGCCTGCTGGCAGCATGAACTGCTGCTGGGGCCCAGAGCACCCCGGCGCTACCTGCACCCAGCTGCTCCGCGCTGTTTGCCCCAGGGTTTGCTGCTGCCTACTCCATCCCCTTTCTTGTGCCACTAACTACTCCTCCTGACCTTTTCCTCATCCTCCTCAGTGTCTCCACTTATCTGTCATCGTCAGGGCACATCTCGCAGAGCATAATGACGGCATCTTCTAGTGCTCTCTGGGTTGGGGTGATGGTTTTGTAGCAGGGGTGTGGGCGGTTCTGGCTGAAGGAACAACGTGGGTCATATCTTTAGAGGGGCTGGGATGAGAGATCAGAGACGCAACAGGCTCCTCTCCAGCAACCTTAAAGCTCCTGTGTCCTCCTGTGGGTGAGTGTAGCCCAGCAGCCACCCCAGCAGCTGCTGTGCTCTGCCTTTCAGACTCCCTCTACGTCTCCGAGTACTTCTCTCAGAGCGCACAGAAGCTGTCCTTCTACAGCTGGTATGGGAATGCCAAGCTCTTCCACTTCCGTGTGCCAGAAGACACCGTGCTGCTTCGCTGGCTCCTGCAAGCGTCCCGGGGGAAAGGACCTGAGTGCACCAGCATGGAGATCACAGTGTACGTATGTCCCTGAGCCAGCGCTTGCCCACATGGGCTTCCTGTCCTCCTCCTGTCCTTGTTGCTCATGGCTGTGGTTGCTTGGTTGCGGAAGGCTGGGTATCTGTTCTTCAGCTGCAGCAGCCATAGTGTCTTGATGTACTAGCACTAAATCTGTGTTGAAACCTGCAGGAGCATTTTGTGGTCACGTTACCATGGGTCTGGGGCTGTCTATCACATGTGGCATCTAAGGGGCGCCTTAAAAACACTGGACAGAGCTTCACAGCGAGGCTGGTGTTGCTGCTCATGAGCAAAGGTGTTCCTGGAGCTTTCTGTGCCTGGCAGAATCCCGTGCATGGTACCAAAGAATGTGGCAGAACTGCAAGGGGCTTGAGAGAACCCAAACCAATTGGAGATGAACAAATTCCCCAGTACAAAGGAATTGAAGAGGCTGGGGACACTTTTTACAAGGGATGAGATCTGTGTGTGGAGCAGAGATAGGAAGTCCTGCAGACACAAGAGCACGGGAAGGTTGCAAACTCAATGCCAGTGAAAGAAATGTAACTTAAAACAGTACTTGAGTTGTTGGGCGATTTGAGGTCAAATATCTGTAAGGTGGTGTAAGACTTGGAGCTCTGTCGTGGGAGTTTCCCAAGTTTCCTGGGCAGGTTATGCCCTTAGAGACATGTGGGTCTCTGGCACCCGCTCCATGGAGGTCTTGACTGAAGTTTGCCACTCGGCTTGCACTTCCCTGTCTGTCCTGGCCACAGAACAGCACTCTTGGATGCTCCAGAGCCACCTGGAACAGATGATCTTCCCACTTTCTGCTTCCCATAAAGGTTTCCAATAGTTTGGGGATGTGAGGGACAAGGCAGTGAGTAAGCAATATCCTAAGAAGTGGAGATCAGCCCAGCTAAGCTCAAACAGGTTAATAACCTGTCACGTTTGCTTGCTGGACCTGCTGTGTGCATTGTTCTGTTGCAGTGCAGTCCAAAAGCAAGCAAATTAAATGCCAGATTGGCTGCCCAAATAAATATCTCACGTATGGCTTGGCTGCTTGCTTTTCTGCTGCTTTGAACGTTGGGCTGCTTCTCTGGAAAGCAGAAATGCTGGTGGAATCAAGTCAGTCACATGGACCTTCCTTGATAAGCATCTTTAACCCTTCTTAAAAGAGGAAATAGAGAAGGACCAGATCTGATCAGTGAAGAGCTTTCATTTTCTAGCTGATTTAGCCCATAAGTGGAACTTGCTGATGGTTATAAAAAGGAGTAGTCTTGCATCTGGGGCTTAACTTTAAGAAATGTTGTGGAAATTTGCTTTCAGGCTTGAGGGAACCATGTAAATCCTTATCTTAATAAGCAGCCAAGTTAAACCAATCTCTAAATAAATGCTGGATAAGCTAATAGCAGCCAGTCCCCACCAGATGAGGATTATGGCTCTTGTGATCTACTTGAAAATGTGGTGTTTTCCCAGCCTGCTCCCTCTCCGATCCCAGACCAAGCTGGGTGTCCACTGCTGGGTTCGTATTTCAGTTTATCTTGCCAGTGTCTTTACATCCCTCGATTCATTTGCATTCTGGTTTCTCTCTCAGGCACTTTCGCTACGGAGCCCCTCCTGTAATTAATCCACTGGGGACTCGTTTCCCTGCAAACGCGACCGTCCGTGCTTCCTACAACATAAGCATCACCCTGGGCAGCGCTGTGCAAAACACCACCTTTGTGAACATCACCACCCCTGCTGCCGGAGACTGGTTCATCGCTGCCCATCTCCCTGAGGCTGCCAGCAGGATCGAAGTGAAGGTGAGGGTCCCGGCGAAGATCTCGGCCATCATAGCCTGCCCAGCGTTGTCTCGCCACAGCTGACCCCTCTGCTCTCCCCTCCTGCAGGGTTTCTCCACTCCATGCCCCTATATGTTCCAGGCAGATATGTTTGTGCTCAGACTCACTGATATGCCTGTCCTGGAGCCTAGTGTTGCTATGCCACAAACCGTCGTCTCGCCTGCTAAGCCACTGCATGTTAAGTGAGTGAGAAAGACTGGGGGGTGTTGGTGGGGTGGGATTTTCCATGGGTGCTCTTGAGGGGAGGCTGCTCTTGTTCCCGTGCAGGGCTGGAGCTGGGGGTCTCCAAGCCTGTCTGCCGAGCTCCCTGCCGCCGTGGTAGGGTTTGCATGGGGAACACACAAGCGCCCTTCTCCGACCCTTCCCAGGTGGTCTTGGAGGTCCAGCTGTGGGAGTTTCCGTTCTTTGGGATGCTTCACGTGGGAAAGATGTTCACAACACCAACCAGGGCAATCTAATTCTTGCCACAAAGCCCTGGGGACTGTGGTGGGTCGTGACTTGGTGTTGAGAGTACAAACTCTGCAAGCTGCTGTCCCTCTTCCCGCAGGGTCTTCGTCCCCAGGCACGCTGCCAGGATGCAGCTGGAGCTGCGAAGCTGCGTGACAAGTGAGCAGAAAGCGTGCGCTGTGCGCGTGGTGCTGGGCTCCATCATGCTGCCCCAGTCCTTCCAGAGGATCCTCACCTGCACGGGGAACATAAACTGCAGCCTGGCCCTGGATTCGCCCCCCTGGGAGAAGTGGCTGCAGATCATGGTGGAGAGTCTTGGCCCTGCCAATGCCAGTGTGTCGGTGGAGATGCTGGCTTCTTTCACAGGTGGGCTTCCACTTTCTTCAGCCCTGTGGGAAGGACCAGAGGGAACTTTGTGTCTACTGTGTCTCTCTTGGGCCTTTGGGCTACAGCCTTGACTGGCTGTAGTGGCCCGTGTCCCCCAGCCTGCTGGTTGCCTGGGCATTACCTTGAGGGCTGAGACCTAGTTGTTGCTTTGGGGTCAAAAGTGAAGGCTCCGTTGTTCACCCAAGGGGTGATACTCCCTGGAGCTGTATGATCTGGAAAAGTTCAGAGCCTTTGAAGCAATGCTATTTTTCCAAAGGCTGTTTGGAAAGAAGTGCCTGGCTTAAAATCTGGTGGAGAGAATAGTTTTGGGTAGAGGCACCAGACTGTAACGACACACTGACTATCGATTGGCCGTAAGCAGGCTACAGACAGGAAGTCATCTCGCCAAGGTTTGCCTGGGGTGATGTCTTGGGTTGTAGTGAGGGGATGTCACCATTGCAGGGGACAACTTGTGACTCAGGAGGTCACAAGGTCCTTGTGGCTGTGATAGGCACCTTTGCATCCTCTTATTACCTGACCATGATCCCTGTTTGACGTTTGGAAGCTCACCAACTAGGTACATTTTTTAAGGTTTTCTTCTGCTGGGGGTTCTGCCTTCCCTTCCTCAAACCAGAGCTTCATTCCGTGTGCTTGAGGGTCTGGCTCTGGCAGCCGAGGTGTTAGGGAGGAGCACTGGAGCCTCTGGGAGCGATGAACAGGCTCCAGCACTAGGACTTCAAGTATCACATTTGGTTCCAGCTGCCACGACGTCATGGCTTGTGTCTGTAGCTGCATTGGATTAGCTTTTCCCTGCCTGGATGAGGTAGTTATCCTGGCTCTGCTGATTCCTCTTCTTTTTTGCTTTAAAGCTTGCAGACCAGGAAGTACCAGTTCATTCCTTAACTTCAGCAGCCTAAACCAGAGCCAAACTGGTCCCAGACCAGGTAGCACAGGAGCAGCAGGGACCTCCACTCTGTCTACCGGAGCGGCTTCACGCAATGTTTCCGGCCAGAGGAGCGTCTGCGTGCAGAACCAGCCCGTCGTTCGTGAGGACCTGGATGTGGTGTCCATACGCTACAGACTCTTGAACGGTCCCAGCGTGCCCGTGAACTCCCTCTCCCCGACGCTCCTCCTCCTCAGCCTGAACACTGGCATGGACAGCGGGGGTTCCCTCGTCGTCAGTCTCCTGCTTAACAAGGTGCGGAGGCTGGTGGATGGGATTGTCTCCCCTTTGCGGGGCTTTGTCCCTGCTCCTGGACCGGTTTTTCAGCAAACTCCAGGGGCTGTAGGTACCGGTGGGATTATTACTTTTTGTTGTCACAAAACACTCTGAGCTTGTTTTAGCCACTTCCAGCATGTCCCACCTGCTAGCTCCAATTCAAATGCCACAGCTTGCTGGCATGTGGTGGCAGTGACGCAGAGGAGATGAAATGGAAAGCAGCTGCAATGCCATCTTCTCCATGGGAGCCTGGCGCCTTGCCACTAGGAAAGGAGACTGAGCGGGGAAACCCAGGGATGTTCCTGCCTGAGTCGCTGATTCCCAGACTCCTTCAGTGACACCCCAAAATCAGCCCCCTGAAATTCTTTGAAATATCCCGAGGGCTGGAGCAGGGCTCAGCCCTGGTGCTCTGCTGCCTCTGAATTCTGCCACTCTATCCTCCTGTGTGAGCGTCCCAGCTTTGGGCCAGTTCCCCGGGAAACTCTCTTGCCTTTCAGCCAGCACGTAACACGGTGGCAGTGGGGGGTGAGGTGAGCACAGGTTTGCCCAGAAAGAGCTGCTGGAATTACGGGTGACCTTGATCTGCAGGGTTTATTGTCACCTGCTGTTCCTGTATGTCGTGGGCAGCGTGGGAGGTGAATTGTGGGGAGGGGGTGGCATCGGGACGCCCTGATGTGGGACGCTGCTCTGTTTCACAGACATCCGTGAACCTGGGCAATGCCACCGTGGTAGCGTGTGTGAGTGCTGCTTCGCCGGTGCTGTCCCCCGACGCCGTGCAGAACTGCAGCACAGGTATGAGAGACGCTGGCACCCGCCGCCAGCTCAGCTACACAAGCTCAGGGCTTTGCTTTTAGACTCCATTAACTGACTCGGGGCTTTGTGGGGTGTCCCAGGAAAGGGGATTTTGGTACAAGGCCTCCCAAGGTCTTTGTGCTGGTATATGGCCGGGGTGCTGGGGTGCAGATGCTAGTCTGGCACTGGGAATTAGCCTCCACCAAAGGAAGATCTGGTTACCGGCTGGGTCTTCCAGCCTCGTTGGCAGGAGGTTTGGGGACAGTCAAGGCCTTGCTGGTGTGCAGAGAAGCAGAGCTGTGCACTGGAGGACTAGCCAAGCAATCAGGCTGTTCCAGGTGCCTTCTGCTGTCCAGACAAGTGCTGAAATAAAAGAAACAACACTTGCTCCTCAGACCCTTGTTCTCTTCATCCCCCAGTGCCCTCTGAGGATGGGAGGAAGGAGCCACAGGAGTATCTGATTCCTGTGCAACTGGTCTCAGCCTGGCATTGCCGCAGGCCCTTCCCCCCATCACAGCATCCTCTTTTCTTTAAGCTTTTTTCCAGGGCTACCCTCTGAGCATGAGCACCTCCTCTGCAGAAGCGATGCTGATTGTCCTGTACCCGCAGACGGATGACTGGTTCCTCTCCCTGCAGCTCATCTGCCCGAAGGGCCAGGGGTAAGTCTGGTGTGTCATCCTGGAGACCGGGGTCTGCTATGGGGTTCTGGGGAGAGCTGACACCTACCTGCACATTGGTTTGGCAGTCCTAGTGGAGAGGGAGCCGATTCTGCTCCTAGCTCTTAGGAGGGATGGAGTAGATCCCAAAATAGCGAGGAGCTTGTGTGCACGAGTGTGACCTGACGCCCTGGAGCAGAGTGCTCCATGGCACAAGGCTGCCCCGAAGGACCAGGCTACCCGTGCGACCTGCTCCCCTTGCAGTGAATGTAACGCCGCAGAAGCCAAAGTGACTGTCTTCGCATACCTCACCCCCTGCTTCAACGACTGTGGGCCGTACGGACAGTGCAGCCTCCTGAGAAGACACGGCTACCTCTATGCTGGCTGCAGCTGCAAGGCTGGTGAGTGCATTTTCCTAGGGAGCTTTGCCATCCTTCCCAAGGGGAGGCCGCATTTTTTGGTGCGGGTGTTTGGGTAGGGGAGCCTGGGGTCTGCTGCAGCTGCCAGGAGCAGCCTGAGATCACAGCGCACACCCAAAGACACCTCTTTGGGAGCACCCTGACTTCCCCAGGATTCTGGGAAGCACAGAGCACCCGAGGGGAAATGGGGAATCGGGCTGAGGATAGCTTACTGCTTGAACAGTCGTTGTGATGCCAGCTTGTAGCGGTGCTTCTGAGCGTCCCCAGAGAGACCAGGGTGTCATCAGGGCTGCCCCAAAGTGCCTGCGTCAGAGCCTCTGCCTCTCAGGGTGGGTTGTTACTCAGGTCCTGACACAGGGTGCGATGAGGCCGGACTGGGGTCGCTGTGTGTCCTTTGCCATGGCGCTGTCTCCTGCCAAGAGCCAGCACACAGGCCAGCCTTCAGACTCAGAGGTGCCCCTGAAGGACAAACATCTGTGCCAGTGCTAATTGTCCTGGTGGGAGGAGACTCAGTGGTGTGGGGAAGATGATGGCTCTGCTGTGCTTGGGTGGGTACGAGTACCTCTTCTCAGCAGAAGGACAAAGCAAAATGTGGTTCGCTGCTGCTTTGGTCCTGAGCCAGCACGTCCTCGCTGTCTGCTGCAGTGCTGATGCATGGCGAGGAGCAGAATGGAGAGCAGCAGCCTAATTTGTCTGAGGGGTGCCAGGTTCTGGGAAGCACAGAGCACCCCAGGGGAGTTAGGGAATGAGGCTGAGAACAGCTTTCTGCTGAATCACTCAGAGCAAAATGCCCTATCTGCATATTCGTGACCCAGAAATAAACAGGAGAAAGCAGCTTCCCTGGGCTCTGCCTGGCCGGGAGCCGGCAGAAGGGGCAGAGCTGCTGCCGTGGTTTCTGGTGGCACTGTGATGGGATGGATGCTACTTTTAACTCTCCTTGTTGACCTGACGTGCAGGAGTGCCTGTACACACCCGGGCTGCCCTGTGACTGACCTCCTTCCTCAGGAAAAAGGCATGGGCACCCTAACCTTGAATTAAAGGATTTAAATTTGGAAAGAAAAAAAAGACAGACAGGTTTGTGTTTGTAGAAGACACTCTCAGCACAGTCTCTGATATCCCATTAGCAGGCTGAGAACCGACCCCCCCACGTCAAGCCTAGAGCATGCACTGTCCTCTAGGAAAGTTGTCACTCCCACCTGCCCTGTGCAGACCTGGATGTCCCTGTGGGCCGAGGCAGCGGTTTTAGCCACCCTGGAGGAGAGGAGTTGGAGGGGAATTGCATCTTCCACTATCCGCGGGGGTTACAGGAATGCTGGAGCCAGGGGAGCACGGGGAATGGGCAGGAGGCCATGACACAGGCTGCAGAAAGGAAACTTTCGGCTAAATCGAAGAAAACAAATTTCCTCCCATCAGATTTGTTCAGCTTTGCACAGTATCCAGGTCTCTGTTCTCGGAGATCTTCAGAATTCAGTTGAGCAAGGCCCAGAGCAACCTGAGCTGGCTTTGCAGTCCGCCCTGCTGTGACAGGAGCCCAATGGCTTCCTTGATGGTTGTGGATCCTTCTCCACCCTTGTTCCTGGGATCTGTAGGGATCTTGCACCCAGCTTACAGCATCATCCAAAGCGTCTGAGCCTGAAACGCTTAACGTGTCACTCACAAGTAGCACGTGTGTTGAGTTTCCTGTAGGGATGAAAAGTATCAGCCTGGACAGGCCCGTGCTGTACGCAGAATGGCTCCTGCTGTGTGGGACAACCTGGGGGATGTCCTCGGAGCAGGCACAGGGCTCTGCTGGGGTTCCCCAAGACTTTCCACAGCAGCGCACGCGATGAGTAACGAGGCCATCCGGGGAAGAGGAGCAGGAGTGGCTGGGCAAGGGAGTGCCGGACAGGAGGCAGTCCTGGGTGCAACTGCTACGTCTGAGGGGTCGTAGGCTCCCGCGGGAGGACAAGGCAGGGCACGCGAGATCCACGCAAGCCTCTTTGCTCCGCAGGTTGGGGCGGGTGGAGCTGCACGGACAATACGAAGGCCCAGTCTGTCGCTGCGCAGAACCTGGCCACCCTCCTGCTCACCCTGAGCAACCTCATGTTCCTGCCAGCCATAGCGGTTGCTGTTTATCGCTACTACCTGGTGGAGGCCTCCGTCTACACCTACACCATGTTCTTTTCCACGGTAGGGGTTGCCTCTTGTCGGGTCCCCTGCCAGCTCCCCCTGAGCATCAGGGATGCTGCTTCGGACTGAAGTCCTCGGTGGAGCAGTCCATCCTGGAGCTCCACAGGGAACTTCTAGGATCGTTGGACAAACAACAGGAGTGTTGTTTTCACTGGGATCTTCCACCCACACTGTGGGTGCTCATATTTGAGGGTGGGACCCCAGGGAGGTGAGATGGGGTTGGAGCATTGCACCCTTGAAGCAGCACCTGTCCTAAGAGCTGCTGCTGGGAGGGTGCAGGCTGATGGCTGCTCCCATCTCCTTTCCATAACGCCATGGTTGTTGGTGGAGCTTCCTGGAGGCACTGCCAGGCAGGTTCCTGGCTGCCATGGGCTGAGCCTTCTCCTGTCTCTCCTTCCCAGAAAGCCGTGTGCTGCTGCAGGATTCATGCTGGCCTTTGTTTTGTCCCCGGCTCTAGTTCTACCATGCGTGTGACCAGCCAGGCGTCGCGGTGATGTGCATCATGGACTACGACACACTACAGTACTGTGACTTTTTGGGCTCTGTGGTGTCCATCTGGGTGACGATCCTGTGCATGTCCCGGGTGAAGAAGATCCTGAAATACGTGAGTGTCAGGTGCAGGGCCAGACCTGAGCCAGCCAAGCCGCGGGTGGCCACGCTGAGCCCTCTCACCACTGTGCTTTGATGACACAGCCCACGCAGCCGCTCCTCCTCTGCTGCCTGCAGGGCAGCCTGTTCCCTGGGCAGCCCAGCCTGATGACAAAACCTGTTTGTCACCCAGCACCACCCTGATCTTTAAACCAGTGGCTTGTTTTGTCCCAGGAGTCTGGATCCGTGTGCTTGTAGGGAGTGGGCCTGAAGGGACTGAGATTTGTGGGAAAGGTTTGTGAGTCCTCTGGTTTCTCCTTCTGAGGGTGCTGCTCCCAGGTTCTGCATGTATGCAGGGCTGGGTGACCAGGAGGTGAGGTCCTCCCGGTCTCTGTCATGGCTGGCTGTGCTCTGGCAGCAGATAAGCTGCTGAAAATAGTGGTGCTGTCTCATTCCCAGGTCCTTTTCGTCTTGGGGACCCTGCTAATTGCCATGTCCCTGCAGCTGGACCGCAGAGGGGTGTGGAACATGATGGGTCCCTGCCTCTTTGCCCTTGTCATCATGATTGCAGCGTGGGTAAGTAGGGGCAGCCAGGCAGGACCTGCTGCCTTTTGCTCCACTCCAGAGAACGATGGTGGCAGAGCAAGCCTCAGGCTCCAGCCCATCCACAGACATGGCTTGATCTCCTTGAAACACCCATGTGGGGGAGGGGGCAGGGCAAGGGGTTCACTTTACATGCTTCCAGTAGCTGAGAAAACCCCTGGTTACTGGTCTCAGCACAGTCCAGCTGCTGCAGCTCCAATGCAGCATTGTCCTGGAATGGTCAGCTGTTCCCCGCACCCTGGGCAGGAGCTATAGCATCTGTGCTGGGCTTTGGTGCCTGGATAGGGGCTTTTGCACACAAGAGATGGGCCTAAGAAGTGTGGGGAGGTTGAGTTTCTGAGGGGCAGCAGGCACACCCTCTTGCTGTGAGGTTGGCAGATGCCCCGGAGTTGAGCAGCACTGCCCATTTCCCCCTGCCTAACCTTCTGCTTGGCTGCTTAACCCCTCCTGTGCTCTGACACCTCCAGGTTTACCACGGAGTGAAGCGCAGACACTGCTACCCCTCGTCATGGAAGCGCTGGGTTTTCTACCTCCTCCCAGGGATCACCTTGGCTTTCATCGCTATCTCAGTATATGCATTCATGGAAACCAATGAAAACTATTACTACACCCACAGCATCTGGCACGTGCTGGTGGCTTGCAGCGTTGCTTTCCTGCTTCCTCCTCGGGACAAGCATAAGAAGCCCTGGGCCTGGTCACAGAAGCTCACTTGTCGCTATCAGATCTGTCAGAATGACCGTGAGGAGCTCTATGCTGTGACCTGAACTGCTCGGCTCCCAGTCACAGCGGTGGAGGGCTGGTGAGGTTGTTTTTTGCCTGGGCTGCCCCTCCCTCGCACGTCAGCGATCCTCTTACGTGCTCGTTCACTGGCCGAGAGGGTGCAGTATGGACCAGGTGTGACGATGAAGATGGTGAGCTTGTCTTGTGAAGGCAAGTTTGAGACCACCACTGCTTTTCTGCTGGGATAGGGCAGGCTCCTTATGATTCTAAATCAAGGAATAGCCTGTCCCCTGCCTCCCCATGGCCCTGGGGAAAATTGTCAACCCCTCTTCCCCCCTGTTGCGTCCATGAGGCTTGGGCTTAGCCCGTGCTGAGCTGGAGCCAGTCTTTGGCTGCTGGGCTCTTCTCTGCATCCCCTCTCCTAGCAGAGGATTGTGGGACAGCGATTTATCCTGCCTTCCTGCAACCAGCATTTGAACCCAAGAGAAGAAGGGGTTTCTTCTGATCTGGGGGGCAAATGGCTACTGGATGTCCTTGGTGCTGATGGGGAGGGAGGGAGCTGATCTCATGGTGCGCTGGGCCCTTGGCTGCCATCTCCATGGGGTTCTGAAGCCTCTCTCCCTGTGAAACAGGCGGTGCTGCTCTTACCTAGTTCTGATTCTGGAGGGGAAAGAATGAGGCCAGGACTTGGGCTCTGGATTCAGGATCAGACTTGGCTGGAATGTGAAAAAAAAGAAAAAGTGGGGACATGCAAAAGGCATCAGCAGTGTCTTGCCCAGATCTGTGAAATGCACAGCAGTACCGGATTTAGTCCAAGTTTAATTTTAGCCCTCCTAGCTCATCTGGAAGGAGCCAGGCTGCTGTGCTGTCCCCTTCCTCTCGACGTTCAGGTATTCGCCACCTTCCTCCCTTTTGCGGGTTTGGCATTTGCGCAGCTCTGCCTGGGGCAGCGTAGGCGGTCCGGGAAGGTGTCTGAGCTGCACGCCCCCTGCTCCTCCAGCCTGCTGTGCCTCGGGGGCTGGATGTGCCGTGGAGTTGCAGCTGATCTGAGGCCACCGGCAGTGTCCCACCCCAGCCAGGAGCATTGCCACGGGCTCCCCGGATGGCTACGGTCTCCTTTGCAGTGTCTGTCTCACCTTAGCCTTACTGTAGGGCATGCAGGCATCGGAAAGCAAGGGCAGAAACGTGGCAACTGGGAAAGTTGGCTTTGCCCATCCTTATTCTATAGACAAGGGCTCAGGTACATGGTTCCTTGGTGGTTTATTCCAGCTGTGGTTGGTCTGGTGTGTGCTGCTCGGAGCCCCTCTGCTGCTCCTCCCCCTGGGGAGCAAAGAACTATTATTAATGAAGGATTTGCCTCCTCGGAGTTATTTCTTGCTTTGAAGAGCACCCAGCCTTCTGCCCAGCTCTGCAC